AGATGGGAGCGACGAGCGATAATCCGTAATGAGGGAAGGGTCCAAAACAAAAGAACCCGGGACCCAGGAGCGATCCTCCGGACCATAGCCCTCCCAGTCGACGAGGTACTGCCAACCACGACCTCGCCGACGGGAGTCCACGATCCGGCGGACGGAGTAGGCCGGATGGCCATCAACTTCTCGGGGGGGGGGAGGGGGCTCGGAAGGAGGGCAGAGCGTGCTGGTCTGGACGGGCTTTATCTGAGAAACGTGGAAAGTAGGGTGAACTCGGAGGGAGGCGGGCAGACGAAGGCGAACAGCGGAGGGATTAATAATGGCTTCGACCTCAAAGGGACCGATAAAACGGGGAGACAATTTCTTGGACATGGCCTTCAGAGGAATATCTCGGGACGATAACCACACCTTCTGGCCGGGAGTGTAGGTGGGAGCCGGAACCCTTTTACGATCTGCCTGTCGTTTGTTTTGTTCGGCTGTGCTGTGAAGGTTGTGAATCGTGGCTCTCCAAATGTTCTGGCAACGACGGATATGGTGGCGGACTGAGGTTACAGAGATATCTTCCTCTTCGGACGAAAGCAACGGGGGTTGATAACCTAGGGAGGCCTCGAAAGGGGACAAACCAGTTGCAGCAGAGATGAGGCAGTTGTGTGCGTATTCGACCCAAGGGAGGTACTGGCTCCAATCTGATGGATTGGAGGAGGTGAAGCAGCGGAGGGTGGTTTCTAAATCCTGATTACGTCTCTCGGTTTGGCCATTAGTCTGTGGGTGAAAGCCAGAGGTGAGAGAAACCTTAGCATGAAGTGCAGTACAGAAGTTTTTCCAGACCTGGGAAATGAATTGTGGTCCACGGTCCGATAAGATCTCCAGCGGTATGCCATGCAAGCGAAAAACATGTTTAGTAAGTAACTGGGCAGTCTGAAATGCTGTGGGTAGCTTACGGAGGGGAACAAAGTGGCAGGCCTTGGAAAAACGATCTACAATGGTTAAGATGGTGGTCATGCCTTTAGAGGGTGGCAGTCCTGTGACAAAATCTATGGAAATATGAGACCATGGGCGTTTGGGGATGGGTAGCGGCTGTAGGAGACCAGATGGAGGTTGGTGAGATGCCTTATTACGTGAGCAGATGGTGCAGGCTAAGACGTACTCCTTAACATCTTTATGGATTGAAGACCACCAGAATTTACGGTTTACAAGTGCAATAGTACGGCTGATACCTGGGTGGCCCGAGAATTTGGAGGCGTGAATCCACTGTAAGAAACGGGCTCGGACAGAGGTGGGCACGTAAATCTTATTAGGTGGGCATGAGTCGGGAGTGGGTTCCGAAAGCTGGGCTTGTCTAATAATATCTTCAATCTCCCAGGTAACTGCTGCAACGGTGCAGCTGGGGGGTAGGATAGTGGCTGGAATCTTGTCAGAATCCCCAGGTGAGTGGAGTCGGGAAAGAGCATCCGGCTTGATGTTGCGTGACCCTGGACGGTAGGAAATCGAGAGGTTAAATCTGGAGAAGAATAGTGACCAACGAGATTGACGCGGGTTAAGCCTCTTAGCTGATTGCAGGTATGAGAGGTTTTTGTGATCGGTCCAGACCAGCACCGGATGCTCCGCCCCCTCCAACCAATGCCGCCACTCCTCCAGAGCCAACTTGATTGCCAACAGCTCCCGATCCCCTACATCATAGTTACGTTCAGGAGGGGATAACCTGCGGGAAAAGAAGGCACACGGATGAGTTTTGTTGTCTTGGGAAGAGATCTGGGAAAGCACGGCTCCAACTCCTGTGTCTGAGGCATCGACCTCAACAATGAACTGTTTGGAGGGGTCTGGCTGAATGAGGATGGGGGCATTAGCAAAAAGGTTCTTGAGTTGAGTAAAGGCAGCTTCTGCCTCCGGGGTCCAACTGAAGGGAATCTTGGTAGAGGTGAGGGCAGTTAGTGGTAGGGCGGTTTGACTGTAATTGCGAATGAATCGGCGGTAAAAGTTGGAAAAACCCAGGAAGCGCTGGAGCTGTTTACGGGTTTGGGGGGTCGGCCATTCCAATACCGCTCGAATCTTCTCCTCTGTGGGTCTTACCTGTCCACCCCCAAGTATGAATCCAAGGAATGACACGGATGATTGGTGAAGCTCACATTTCTCCGCTTTGACGTACAATTTGTTCTCCAAAAGACGTTGTAGGACCTGGCGAACATGATGCTTGTGTTCCTCTAGAGTCTTGGAGTAAATCAAAATATCATCCAGATATACAAATACAAACACATTTAGAAAATCCCTCAGCACGTCGTTTACGAGGGCCTGGAAGAAGGCTGGTGCATTAGATAATCCAAACGGCATCACCAGGTATTCAAAGTGACCTATTGGTGTCTTAAATGCCGTCTTCCATTCATCTCCCCTTCTAATACGGAGTAAATGGTAAGCATTTCTCAAGTCAAGTTTTGAAAAAACTGTTGCACCATGAACAGGTTCAAAGGCAGAGGATAACAGAGGCAAGGGGTACTTATTCTTCACTGTTATGTTATTTAGTCCTCTGTAATCGATGCAGGGTCTTAGTGATCCATCCTTTTTACCAACAAAAAAGAAACCTGCTCCCAGAGGAGAGGAGGATGGGCGAATTATGCCGGCTGCCAGAGATTCCTTAATATATCTCTCCATGGTTTCTCTCTCTGGTCGAGAAATATTATACAGACGGCTTGTGGGTAGTGGCGCACCGGGCAGGAGATCTATGGCACAATCGTATGGTCGATGTGGAGGTAATGAAAGAGCCTTGGACTTACTGAATACTGGAGCTAGGTCGTGGTATTCAGGTGGGATGATCGATAGGTCGGGCGGATCTGCCTCCTGCGGTTCTGCCGATGGCGGACCTGGGGGAACGGCTGAGTGGAGACAAGACAAATGACAGGAGGTGGACCAGGATTCGACAAGTCTATCAGCCCAGTTGATGTGGGGATTATGTTCCTGGAGCCATTTAAACCCGAGGATGATGGGAGAGTTGGCCATGGGAAAAACAAAAAAGGAGGCGAGTTCACTATGATTTCCAGAAATGATTAGGTGTACTGGTCTGGTCCGATGAGTTATTTGGGGTAAGGTGTTTCCATCAATGGCAGTGACTCGAAGAGGGATTGAGAGTGGCTCGGTCTCAATAGACATTTGCTGAACTAACGTACTATCTATCAGATTTTGCTCACAACCTGAGTCAACCAGAGCAGACAACGGGAATGGCTGATTTTTACAGATCAAAGTAGCAGGTAGTGACAGGCGAGGAGAATCTTTTCTCTGTAGGTGGTCCGCCAGCCCCCTCACCTCTACTGGCGGACCCGGGAGTTTAAACGGACTGGGCATTGGGCGAGGAAATGTCCTGGGGAGCCACAATACAGACAGAGACGAGAGGAGATTCGTCTCTGACGCTCCTCAGGAGAGAGACGTGTCCGACCCATCTGCATGGGTTCAGGGTCCTGAGAAGCCCCTGGGGGAGAAATCGCTGGCATGCCTCCCTGAAACTGAACTGGTGGGTCTCTCTGTCTCCTCGCCCTATTACGGGACCGGATCCTATTATCAAGTCGGATAGTTAGGCTGATTAGTTCCTCCAAAGTCTCTGGTTCATCTAGTACAGCCAGTTCATCTTTTAAAACTTCGTTAAGAGCGTTGAAATAAACGCTCTTCAATGCGGCAGCATTCCAATTTGTTGCTGCCGCTCTGATTCTGAAGTCTATAGCAAAATCCGCTACTGTGCGTTGGCCCTGTTTAATCCCCATGAGCTGGCGTGAGTTGAAAGATTCATCAGCGTCTTGATTGAAAACTTGTCGGAACTCTTTTAAAAACTCATCAAACGTGCAATTGTAATTTGAGGGCGATGGAAATCGGGCCTGGGCCCAGTCTAAGGCCCGCCCGGATAACAGGGACAAAACATAAGCGATTTTAGAACCATCTTGCAGAAAACTCTGAGGGGAGTGGTTGAAAATTATAGAACATTGCATCAAAAAACCTTTACATTGGCTCTGGTCTCCAGAAAATCTCTCAGGCAGTGGTGGTCGAACCTCAGAAAACGTGGTCTGGACCGGGGCCGGAACTGGAGCGGGGTCTGGCGGAGCCTCCTGAGAAACGGAAGGTTTGAGATAATTAACAATTTCAGCTAACTGCTCGTTAGTCTCGGCTTGTCGGGCGCTAAGCTCTCTTAAAGCTGCTTCGTGTGATTGGAGCAGGTTGTGCTGTTCGGATAACGTTCTCCTGATCGCGTCTGCTGGGCTTGGTTGT